TTGGTATGTTCTATGAACCATGAGGAATGGTTCTTATATTTTTAATGGTTGAAAAAGAAGGAAAGAGTATTTCATGACACATGGAAATTATATAAAGCTTAAATACTATAATAAGGAAATTTGAGGGGGGGGGTCCAGTTGTGGGACCTGAATTCTGGGCCTGGGCACTCTCCCTCAGTTCTTCAGCTCAAGGCTAGCACTCTACCACTTGAGCCACGGTGCCACTTCCGGCTTTTTTCTTTTTGCTTATGTGGTGCTGAGGAATCGAACCCAGGGCCTCATGCATGCAAGGCAAGCACTCTACCACTGAGCCACCTTCCCAATCCCTAATAAGGAAATTTTATTGGAACACTTCTTTATATACTGTCTATGGCTGCTTTCATGCTGTAATGGCAGATTTGATTAGTTTCGACAGAGACCAAATGGTCCACAAATCCAAAAATCTTCCCCTGGTCCTTTACAAAAAATGTTTACTGACCTCTGCGTTATCTGGCCTTTTAAAAATCTTTTTCTTCTCCTTTTTTCTGTTATTTGGGTTTGAACTAAGGGCTTCAAACTTAGTCAGCATACCTCCTTGGTTGAGACTATCTTCAGCCAATCCTCCACTTGTTAATTAAAGACTTATTGGTTAATTGAAGTCTTTTGGACTTTCCTGCTCCTACTGTCTTCGAATCCTGATCCAGTTTTCTGAGTAGCTAGGATTACAAGCATGAGTCGCTAATACCCAGCATGAATTTGGCCTTCTAACAAACATCTTTCTGCTCAGGGGTTGAAATTTCGAAGTATATATATTAAAAAGGGTAAAATGGGGCGCCCGTAACTCAAACCTGTAATCCTAGTACTCTGAGATCTGAGGATTGCAGTTTGAAGCCAGCCCAGGCAGGAAAGTCCATGAGACTCCTCTCTAATTAACTACCAGAAAACCAGAAGTGGCCCTGTGGCTCAAAGTGGTAGAGCATGAGCCTTGACCACAAAAGCTAAGAGATAGCACCCAGGCAGGCCCTGAGTTCAAGCCCCAGGAGAAAAAAAAACCCACATAGATAAAAGATAAGCCTGCTTCATAGTAGTGGCAGTAATATTTGTTGGTTGATATAAAAAAATACTTCTCTCAGTGGCAGAATTCAAATTCACTCTAGGTAAATTTATGTTTTCTTTCCTTATTTTTTCCTTTTCCTGGTCCTAGGGTTTGAACTCAGGGCCTGGTCATGGTCCCTGAACTTTTTTCCCAAGACTAGCAGTCTACCAATTGAGCCACAGCTCCACTTAATGGCTTTTTTGTGGTTAATTGGAAATTAGTCTCAAAGACTTTCTTGCCTGAGCCGGCTTCAAACTTCATCCTCAGATTTCAGCCTCCTGAATAGCTAGGATTACAGGCATAAGGCATAAACCTCTGGGGCCCATCCTTTTCATTCTTTTTGAGGACTTTCATTCTTTTTGAGTTGACCTCCAGGCTTAAGTGGTAGAGGGCCTCCCTAAAAAGGAAGAAACTCTTGGGGTACTGGTGGCTCATGCCTGTAATCCTAGCTACTCAAGAGACTGAGCTCTGAGGATTGAGGTTCAAAGCCAGCCAGGAAAGTGTGAGACTCTTATCCCAGAAGTGGAGCTATGGCTCAAAGGGGTAGACTACTAGCCTTGAGCTGGAGCTCAGGGATAGCACCCATACCCACAGTTCAAGCCCCATGACCTGGAGCAAAAAGAGCAGGGGACTTGAGTTCAAATCCTAGTACTGTCCAATAAAGAAAAAAGTAATTGACATCCAGACCCCTAATGTGAGCAGAGGAGACTCATGAGTCACATAATATATATTTATTTTTTTTAAACTTTAAAATGATGAGACAAAGATGACTTTCATTTAGAAAGTACCAAGAAATTAGTTTTTTATAAATACAAAAATTTGTTGGCATATGGAAAAGCAATAAAATACATAGAATGTGTTCTTTTCCTGATTTTTTTGTTGTATTTCTGGATAGATATTTATGACCTTAATCTCTAGACTACCAAAGTGAATACGAAAGGTAAACAGATTTGAAGAAAGGTTTTTTCCTATGACAGTGAAGCAATGATAGGTTGACTTGTTTTATATAGAGAGATAAATTTGGAATTAAAACACAGGAATGGCACTCTAACAGTGTGACATTAGTATTACCCTCAAACCAGAGGCAGTCCGTTCAAAGGACACATAGCACTTAGGATATTAGTTAAAGTAGTAGTTTAAAAGGCTCTTTGTTCACATTGGCAGGAGTTGACCCGCAAGGATATAAGAAATGTGCTAATCTCGTTTGACCATTGGCCTAACTGTAATGTCTGTATCTCATAATTAATAAAAAGGATATTTTCCTGAGAGCTTAAGGATTGAGACCTTTAGATGCTTCTTTACTTAAGGGTTTCTTCTAAATATCAGATTTGTCCTACCTGATTTGGAGTTAGACCTTCTTGAATTTGTTTACATTTTCATTCTGTTCCACTTCTTGAGCTGATAGTTTGCTAAGTTCCATAAGCCTTATTGAAGTTCCTGTTTTCCTTTTGATAGAATTGTCTTTAGGTTTCCCACAGTGCCCCCTTTGTATCTTAATTCTGTGACTAAGGTGCAAGTCAATTTCTACACTCTTGTTGATGCTTATTAATTTGTTTCATTCCTTTAGAACAAGATTTTTCTATTTCCACACTTGACATTTTGGTCCAGATAAGTCTGTGCATTGTAAGGTACTGTCTTGTGCCTTTTAGGATAATTTAGCAGTAATCCCACTGGCCTCTTCACCTAGATGCTGGCAACCACAATTACAAAATGCCAGCCAAATATTCCCAAATGTACCCTGAGGTTGGGACTCAAAATTGCCTTCAGTTGAGAACTATTGCTTAGATCGTTGGGTTTTCCACACTGCGAAGTTTATACTTATTGGACTATCTTCATGATACAGAGACTTCACTATCCAAATGATTGCATTATTCTTTTCAAGTTCTGGTTAGTGTCTAACTTGAATGACAGTGACATATATATATATATATATATATATATATATATATATTTTTTTTTTTTTTTTTTTAAGGTATTACATGCTTATTGTGCTTGCTTGCTCAGCTGGTGCTCTACCAGTTGGTATGTCTCTTTTTCTTTTTTTTTTTCTTTTATGGGTCCAGTCGTGGGGCCTGAACTCTGGGCCTGGGTGCTGTCCCTCAGCTCTTCAGCTCAAGGCTAGTGCTCTACCAATTGAGCCAACGTGCCACTTCCGGCTTTTTTCTTTTTGCTTATGTGGTGCTGAGGAATCGAACCCAGGGCCTCAGGCATGCAAGGCAAGCGCTCTACCACTGAGCCACCTTCCCAGCCCCCAGTGACATATATTTTTATAGGTTCAATATTTCAGGTCATTACTGAGGGATATGGAGTATTTTAAGCCAGACTGAGCTACAAAACAAGACCCTGTAGCAAGAAAAAAAACTTGTAATCCAAAACACTCATGTTTCATAATATAAGGACTGTTTCTGTGCCAGTATTGGGGTTTGAACTCAGGGCTTAGTTGCTGTCCCTTAGCTTTTCACTCAAGGCTAGTGCTCTTACTATGTGAGTCACAGCTCCAGACTTTCCTGCCCAGGCTGGCTTTGAACTGCATTGCTCAGATCTCAGCATCCTGATTTGCTAAGATTACGGGGATGAGTCATAGGTGCCTGGCTTAAATTAATACAAGGACTTTTTAAAACATCTTTGTAGCTTATATAGAATTGTAATTTCAGATTAGACTTCTTGTTTTGAAGATGAGAACAAGGAAAGAGAAAGTGAGAAAAAAGATTCAGAAAAGCAATGTGGGCGTGATCTTTGTGTGTGTTCCTGTGTGTACGTGTGCACATGCATGCACAAACGCATGCGCAAATCCTAGGACTTAACTTTTCAGACTCAAGAGCCTAGGCTCTGTCCCTGGGCTTTTTTGCTCAAAGCTCATGCTCTGTCATTTGAGCAACACCTCTACTTCTGGATTTTTTGGTTGTTGATTGGAGATAAAAGAGTCTTGGGCTGGGAGTGGCTCAGTGGTAGAGCGTTTGCCTTGCGTGCCTGAGGCCCTGGGTTCAATTCCTCAGCACCACATAAACAAAAAGAAAAGAGCCGGAAGTGGCACTGTGGCTCAAGTGGTAGAGCGCTAGTCTTGAGCTGAAGAGCTAAGGGAGGGGACAGCACCCAGGCCCAGAGTTCAGGCCCCACGACTGGACCCAAAAAAAAAAAAAAAGTCTCATAGACTTTCCTGCCCTGGCTGGCTTCAAACCATGATCCTCAGATCTCAGCCTCCTGAGTAGCTAGAATTGCAGGCTTAATCCACTGGCACCTTGCTTGCCTCCATGCTCTTAAAGATGAGATGTGCTTCACTTATTCTTTCTTCAACCAGCCATTTTCTGTTGGTCATGGGGCTTGAACACAGGGCTGAGACCTGTCCTTGAGCCTCTAGTGCTCAAGGCTAGCACTCTACCACTTGAGCCACAATGCCACTTCTGGTTTTTTCTGAGTAATTTCTTGTTGAAAGTCTCACAGACTTTCCTGTCCTTGGCTGGCTTTGAACTGCAGTCCTCAGATCTCAACCTCCTAAGTCACTAGGATTACAGGGGTGAGCCACCAGCACAGCTCAGCATAGGCTTTTGACAACCCTGCCTTCGTGACTACTTTCTCCTTTGTTGCTCCTCCGTTACTGGGTTCTCTGGCTACAGACCACCCCAGTGTCACCATTTTGTTTTGGTGAAGAGTAGACATATCTGAGGCTCAAGTCACAGTAAACCACTCATCCTTTATTGCTTCAGTTCTGTGTGCCTTCACCTAATCTTTGGCACACTTGGTAGTATAGGATTTGTTAGTATTTTTTCCCATTATTCTAGGTCATTTGGGAATGTACTTATTAACAGAAATCATTCCTTTGTATAATTTTCTGGCTGCTATTTATGGGGGTCTCTGGAACAGTGTCAGCTGCCCTCTGGGACAAGTGTGTATTGATTATTTAATTCAGTTTTGTTCTCTTTCCTAGGATGCTCCAAGATGAAGCGCAGTAAGCCTTCTAGCAGCAGTGAGAGTTCAGATGATTGTGAGTAGAACTGGCTGACAGCTGGGAACCTCTGCCCCTTAAGAATCTTGTCTTTTCCTTGAAGATAATCTATTTCATACTTCCTTCAACAGTTAAAAATGTTTCTGGGAAGAAATTGTCAGGGCCCTTTTTTTAAACTATAATTAGTAATAAATAGGTAAATTAGGTATAAGAATTGCTTTAGTATAACATGTAACAACCTGGTTTTTACTCTATTAGCTCAAACAATAAAAGCCAAATCTAGTAATGCTATGATAGAGCCTTTCTGGTAAGGAATACAAAATTGAGAACATAAACTGATTGTATCTAAGGTACTAGTAGTAATGTTTGATTAGTTAGTAATGTTTGATTATGGGTCAATTATTTGTAAAATGTCTTAATACAAGCCTTCAAGGAAGTACTTAAGTTACACAGATAACTTGCTCCAGATTTTTAGTTTATCTAGTTGTTTCTGCAGATACTTCTTTCAAGATAGAATATGAATTGTGTTATTTCAAAGTATTGTGAGGTGCTATTATGACAAATGGTTCTTTTCAGGTTTGGCACTGTTTGAATCTTTTGTATTCTGGGAGATGACTTAAAAATACCATTAGACTGCATATGAAACTGTCTTTTAATTTCTTTAGTAGAATAAGATCATGGTCTTATTTCTTCATAATTTTCTTAGGTGGCATTTAGTTGCATTAGTAGGTATTACGTCTTGGCATTTTTTTCTAATTGTCTTTTGCAGGTCCTTCTACTTCATTTTTTCCTGGCAAACTATATAAAAGCAAAATCAAGTCAAAAACTGAAAAAGAACAAAAGAAACCTGCTGAGGTGAGATCAGTTATCTATTTTCAGACTAAAAAACATAGTAAGATATGTCCTGCCTACATAATTATAATACCCATAATCTGAAAATGTGCAAAGTAACATATATACCAATGGATTTGCCTTACATATTTTGAATCTGATTTTAGATGCATACACATTTAGAATTACTTTGTCTACTTGGCAAATTGAACCTTTTCATCATAATGTGATGCTTTTTTTATCTTTGGTAATTTCATTTGCTCTGAAGACTTGGGTCTTTTTTTTAATTCACTGTATCAATCTCTTTTTTTTGCCAATCCTGGGGCTTGAATTCAGGGAGGACCTGGGAGCTTTCCCTGAGCTTCTTTGTGCTCAAGGCCATAGTGTCACATCCAGCTTTTTCTGAGTAGTCTATTGGAGATAAGAGTCTCAGAGAATTTTTCTGCCTGGGCTGACTTCAACTGTGATCCTGGGGGCTGGGAAGGTGGCTCAGTGGTAGAGTGCTTGCCTTGCATACATGAGGCCCTGGGTTCGATTCCTCAGCACCACATAAGCAAAAAGAAAAGAGCCGAAAGTGGTTCTGTGGCTCAAGTGGTAGAGTGCTAGCCTTGAGCTGAAGAACTAAGGGACAGTGCCCAGGCCCAGAGTTCAAGCCCCAAGACCGTACCCCCTCCTCCCCCCCAAAAAACTGTGATCCTTAGGTCTCAGCCTCATGAGTATCTAAGATAACAAGACTGAGCCACCAGCACCCAGCTCAGTTTCCCACCCCTCCCCTTTTTTTGTTCATTTCCTTTCTATTTGAAGAACTTCATTTAGTCAATCTTTAGGGTAAGACTGCTGGTGATAAATCCTCTTAGTTTTCCTACATTTGAGAATGTTTTCATTTTACCTTGTTTCCTAAAGGACATTTTTGTTTGATATAAAATGCTGCTTTGACAGTACTTTTCTTTCAGCTTTTGAAAAACAATGCTTTTTCCTTCTAATTTATTCTAGTGAGAAATCTGATACCATTCAAATAGTTGTTCCACTATAGGTAACTAATCACTTATTTTTTAATTATTTCCCAGAATTTTTCTTTTATTTTGAGAAGTTAGCTTATGTCCCTAGGCATGGATTTCTTTTGATTTACTTTATTTGGAGTTGAGGAAGCTTCCTAACTGTCAAGTTTTTAGCCATTCAATATTCTTTTCACCTCTACCTTAAAGATAAATTCTCTGAATGTTAGATACTCTTTATTTTCCTACAGGTCCTTTTGCCTCTTTGATTTTCACTATGTTCTTTTCAGATTGAGTGATTTCTGTTGTTTGCTGGTTCTTTCTTTTATTTTTCTTTATAGTTCCTATTTCTTTGCTGAGACTTTTTTTTATTTCCAATTGTTTCCAGTTTCTTTTTTGCTGAGATAAATTAATTGCACAAAGGGATTTCACTGTGATATTTCCATATATTTATATAATGTACTTTGATTAAATTCACCTCTTTATTATACTTTCTTAACCCCCGCCCCCCCACTCTTTTCAAAAAGTGTGCTAGTCCTAAGGCTGAACTCAAGGACTGGGCATTGTTGCTGAGCTTTTCTGCTCAAGGCTAGTGCTCTACCACTCAAGTCATAGCTCCACTTCTGGCTTTTTGGGTGGCTAATTGGAGATAAGAGCCCTCATGGACTTTCCTGCTGAGATTAGCTTTGAAATGTGATTCTCCTATCTCAGACTAGGATTACAGGCATGAACCCCTGGCATCCAGTTACAAACGATATTTGTATTGAAGCATTTTTACCTTGGATGCTTTCAAATACTTGTCAGGTTATTGTGACATATGTGCTGTCTTGGTACCTATGGTTGTTGACAGTCTTTTCTCATTTCTAGCTACTTTGATGAATGATTTTTCCATTGTACCCTGAACCTTTTTTGGTGTTATATGACAAGATATTGAGCCTCACCTAAATCTTCTCTTTTATCAATACTCTGAAGTAATCAGACCAGTGGGAATACCGGTGTTGACTCTTTACCAGTTAAAGAATACCTAAGCCCCCTGTCTTTGCTCTTGTTATCTCTCTAGGAAACAAATTACTACTTGGTGGTATGGGAAATTCTTACTTTGTTGATTCTACTAATAATGGAGAAATGTTTTAAACCTCTTTCTGCAACAAATTTTCATAGTAAATTACTGGTTTTAAGTGTCCAGTTTGTGAGTTTTAGTTTATTCACAGTCGTGTAGCCATCACCACAATCTAAATTTAGAATGTATTTATTACTCTAGATAGAAATTTCATAATTCCATTTTCCTAAATCCAATCCTAGTAACCTCTTATCTATTTTCCATCTCTATGAATTTTCCTATTCTGGATATCTTCAGTAAATGGAGTCATACACTATGTGTCTATCTTCTTGGATTTAGTGTGGTATTTCAAGGCTTATCCACATATTTTATTTATTTTTTTTGGGGGGGGAGGTCCAGTCGTGGGGCCTGAACTCTGGGCCTGGGTGCTGTCCCTCAGCTCTTCAGCTCAAAGCTAGCGCTCTACCACTTGAGCCACAGCGCCACTTCCGGCTTTTTTCTTTTTGCTTATGTGGTCCTGAGGAATCGAACCCAGGGCCTCAGGCATGCAAGGCAAGCACTCTACCACTGAGCCACCTTCCCAGCCCAAATCCACATATTTTAGTATATATTAGTGCCTCGCTTTTGTGACCAAGTGATATTACATTGTATATGTATGCTGTGTTTTTTTGTTGATGATGATGTGTTTTGTTAATTGTGGGGCTTGAACTCAGGGCCTGGGTGCTATCCATGAGATCTTTTTGCTTAAGGCTAGCACTCTAGCACTTGAAGCCACAGCACCACTTCCGTTTTTCTGGTGGTTAACTGAAGATAAAGTTTCCATGATCCTCAAATCTCAGCCTCCTGACTAGCTAGGATTACAAGCATGAGCCACTGCCACCCAATTTATACTAAGTTTTGTTCATCAGTTGATGAACATATGGGCTCTTTCCACTTGTTAACTTCTTTGAATAGTTCTGCTGTGGACATTCATATCCAGTTTTTTGTATGAACATAGTTTTTCATTTGTCTTGGACATATATCAGTGAATGGAATTATTTGATCATACAGTTAATTCTTTTTAACATTTGAGGAACTGCCAGATTATTTTCTAATGTAATTTTGTCATTTGGGGAGGGGATCGGGTCGTGGGGCCTGAACTCTGGGCCTGGGCGCCGTCCCTCAGCTCTTCAGCTCAGAGCTAGCGCTCTACCACTTGAGCCACAGTGCTACTTCCGGCTTTTTTCTTTTTGCTTATGTGGTGTTGAGGAATCGAACCCAGGGCCTCAGGCATGCAAGGCAAGCGCTCTACCACTGAGCCGCCTTCCCAGCCCCTATTTTGTCATTTTTTCAGTCCTACTAGCAATGGGTATTTGAAATTTCTTATTACTATGGGCACTAGACTTTAGACTCATGTTTGTCTTCTCTCTTAGCTTTAGAGACTTTTGTGTTTGTCTTCAAGAGACACTATCCCTGACAGCACCCTAGCTATTAGTCTCTGTTATTATCACTGGAGACTTTCACTTGGTAATAAGGTCTGGAGGAGGAGACATTTTTTAGTCTTCTGAGTAACTCTTCATTTTTGGAGTGCATACTGTCCCTGGGTGAAAGGTACGAGGAAATGGCTTTCACTGGTTGAGCTTTTTTGCCTCTTCCCCTAGTCTCTAATCTGCCTTCAGCAAGGATCCTATAATGTTCTCAAGTCTTTGTTCTGAGCTTCTTACAGAGAAGTCTTTCCCCTGCAGATGAAGCGTTTTGTTCAGTAAAGTAGCAAGGGATTTGCAGATGAAGTGTTTTATTCAGTAAAGTAGCAAGGGATTTAAGTATCAGACGCCCAGCCAGCACCATTCAAGAGCTTTCCTCAGGTCCCTCCACCCATCTTCCCTTTTTGAGTTCCTGGAAAAAGTTTAGAAGAGGGTGCAAACCCCTTATGACTACAGCCCTCAAGAATTTCATTGTTGGGCTGGGAAGGTGGCTCAGTGGTAGAGAGTTTGCCTTGCATGCATGAGGCCCTGGGTTCGATTCCTCAGCACCACATAAGCAGAAAAAGCCGGAAGTGGGACTGAGGCTCAAGTGGTAGAGCGGACCCCCCCCAAAAAAAATTCCCTGTTACTTAGTAAAGTCATGTCATCCTATATTGTAAATTACCCAAAAAAAAAATTGGGGGGGGGGGCAGTTTCTGGTGTTGGGGCCTGAACTCTGGGCCTAGGCGCTGTCCCTCAGCTCTTCAGCTCAAGGGCAGTGATCTACCACTTTAGCCACAATACCACTTCCTCATTATTATTTTGTAATCCCCACTTGGCCTCCAACAATTCATCAAAATTTCTAGTTGAATGTTCCTACAGTGTCTTCTGCCTGACGTAAGCAAATATTCTGTCCTGTGTCTGCCTGTAGATGCCTGTCTCTGAGTTGGGAGTTCGTCCTGTGGCTTATTTCTCTGACAAGTTTGTGAGCATTTTCTACTTTGCTTTCCTGTGTTGCTTTTATTGTCTTACAGAGATGGGAGTTTATTTTTTTCTGACTCTACATAGTCTGAGATGACCGTGGAAGTCTCAAATCTCAAGGTTTTTACTAGGACTTAGTCATTGCAATACAACATGAATTACTCTTTTTGTTAGGAGTTAATTGCCTACATAATTTTTTTGATATTTAGTACATTAGTGCAATTTTTTTTTGGGGGGGGTGGGGTCTGTTGTGGGGCTTGAACGTGCTTGGGCGCTGACCCTGCGCTCTTCAGCTAAAGGCGAGCGCTCTACCACTTGAGCCACAGGGCCACTTCCAGTTTTCTAGTGGTTTATTGGAGATAAGAGTCTCACAGATTTTCCTGCCCGGGCTGGCTTTGAACTGCAATCCTCAGATCTCAGCCTCCTGAATAGCTAGGATTACAGGCATGAGCCACCGGCACCCGGCTCATCAGTGCAATTCTTATACCATGTTTCCCCTCTAATTTATCCCCTAAAGAAGAGTTTCATGTTGCTCTATGAATACCA